TCCTTCGGGTTGCAACCAATTCGGGGTGCGACCAGAGTCACGGAACGAATTAAATTCGTAACCCGAGGTTCCACTGTATTGCTTAAAAGTTTTGAAATTGGACACAAAATGCCCGGTCTTAGAATAGATAGTATATACCTTGAGAGGCAGCTTTTAAAGCATAACAACCAGGTTGGATTAAATTCTAAGTGATTTATTTAGCAATGATTAAATGGTTAAATAGTTGGTTTAAAATTTAATTTCCCATTGGTAATTCCCTCATGTATTCCTGAACTACTAAAACATTTATATGGTTTCATTCTTACATGTCTTTGTTACACAATAAAATCTCAGTTTTGCACACATTAATACAACAGACTTAGCATGTAGTGAGCCAAATCTTTGTCTTAAATTACGGGAAATCTTCACTTAATGACCTTAATTGGGACTGGTAATTCTGTCACTAAGCGAAACAGTCATTAAGCAAAACGTGACCCCACCAACTTACAACGGCAGTTCCAGCAGTTCCAGTTGTGGCTATTAAGTGAATCATCTGCGGTCATTAAGCGAGACATCAGATGACTATGACTTGCAACCTCCTGCCAGTTTCCCCATTGACTTTGCTTGTGGGAAGTCAGCTGGGAAGGTTGCAAATGGTAATCACATGACCGTGGGATGCTGCGACCATCATAAATGCGCAACGGTTGCCAAGTGCCTGAATCGCAATCATGTATCTGTGGGGATGCTGCAATGGGGTCATAAGTGCAAGGACCAGTCGTAAGTCACTTTTTTCAACGCTGTCGTAACTTTGAACAGTTAAACGAATGGTTGTTAAGTGAGGACTACCTGTATATAAATTGTGGCATTCCCGTGCCTTTATATTTAACAGATGTTCATGAGTAAAGGACCTTCCTCCCCCAATTAATTAAACATGGTTCCACTCTATAAATCTAGCATGCCTTCTTTTTCTTTTTCAATACAGAATAGAACCTTTGTGTGCTTGCCATTATATTTTGCTTAAGTATGGACTTACAGGAAAATTGACCAATGTTGATACCTTTTCTCCTGCTTCGGTTCCGTCATACCTTTTCAAAAAACAGCAGCAACATATTTTTATTAAGTGAAAATAAGGACTAATAATGACAATTCTAATTGGAGAAGTACATTTTTATCATCAAAATAGCTATTTACTAATGAGATAATTGTTTATATTTAAAAATGATTAATTCTTTATTTGTATATAAAAACTTTTAATTGAAGCGTTTTGCCTGAAATAATTACTACAGGGAAGGCTACAACTTTACGCTCCTTTGGAGAATATTTCAGGAGCCATAGGAATTTCAAATTCTTCCCCTGAGGCCAGAGCAAGAGAACCAAGCCTCACTGGTGAACTTTCAGAAGGGTCCATAACAAATGCTTCTCTGAAAGCAGAATACAAAAAGAAGACACACTGAAAGATACTGGATTCACAGTACTGCTCTGTTCCTGGAACATTAGTTCATTCTGTGAGGTTCATGGAATGTGGACCAAGCAATGGGCTGCCTTAGCAGTGGCCCCCAATTTTGGATTACCCTACTCCAGAGGTACAGATGGCCTCAACCCTGCCATCAAGCCCCATGGAGCAAGGTAGTGTCAAGCAAGCCAGAATCATACAGATTTCATTAATGAGCTTTAATGAAAGAATTAGAAGCACTGTTCAGAATCTTGGAAACCATGCCTGGAAATTTCAACCTTCTATTAGTGAGGTCATTACAGGAGCCTCTTTGAAAGTTTTGCATCTCTTCTACCTGGGCTTTCTGCACAGCCCTAAGCTGTGTTTCATAGAAAAGCCACAAATGACTTCTATTGTCTGTTTGTTGTTTATGTCTAGAGTGCCTCCTGTTTCTTTCTCAACCTCCTCACAGTTCCTCACATGAGCTTTTTTTGTAAACAAGCTAAAGCCATTGTTTTGAAATCTGCATTTGGCCCTCTGTCATTCTTAAGCACTCAGAGTCTGTCAGGATCAGGGTGTGAATAAATATGGGAAATAAGTAAGTAAACAACATTTCATGCCCGTTGTGATCATTAAGGCATTTATAAAATGAAAGCAAAATCCTTCGCAGCTAAATAAAAAGTAAAGCAGCACTACTATTATAAAGCAGCGTATTATAAAAGATGGTTCTGCCTGAATTCCTCCCTTTCTGTCCCTTTGTGGAGAATAACTTGCTCATTCAGTTGGTTTAATCCTAAATGTAGCTGTGGTTTAGATTTTCTAAAATTGATTACAGGTAGTCCTCACTTAACAATGGTAATTGGAACCAGAATTTCTGTCGCTAAGCAACCTAGTTGTAAAGTGCAATGTCACGTGACTGCGCCGCTTAGCAGCAGAAATTCCAGCACTTCCGATTGCTGCTGTTAAGTGAACCATTATGCGTTGTTAAGCAAGGATGTGATGTGGTTGCCATTTGTGACCTCCTGATGGCTTCCCCATTGACTTTGCTTGTAGGAAGCCAGCAAAGAAGCTTGCAAACAGTGATCACATGACTGCAGAATGCTGCAACATCATAATTACAGGATCATGGTCATGTGACTGCAGGGATGCTGCAACTGACATAAGTACGAGGACCGGTTGTAACTACCACTCATTCAGCACCATTGTAAGTTCAAATGGATGCTGAACAAGTGGTGGTTACGTGAGGACGATCTGTATGCCACTTTCTGGCAATGCATATTTGTGTTATTGATAAATATGTAGTCGTACATGTTTTGATGTTAATTAAGCAACTCTTAATATTTCCTGACTCATATAAAGATACATTACGATATCTGAAAAGTGGTGTTTGATCAATAATTTAAAAATTAATTTTAGTCTCTTCTAGAAGACCTAAAAGTTCAAGATGTTCTACAAAATCAGTTTCATTATAGTAAAGACTTGCGGTGTTTATTCATGTTGCTGGTAAGATATTAGTATTTTAATTTATTATTCCTAATCAAGAAATAAACTGATAATTCTGATAAATGGAAAGAAGTACAATTGCTAGGGAAAAAAAATAAAAGGAAAAAAATTCTGATTTATTATGCTAAAGCTTATAATCATTACATGATAAATCGTTTAAATATTTGTGTTTAAAATGTATTTGTTCTCTCTGTACACTGCTGTGCAAATCACAGTTGGCCTCAGAGTTGAAGGATGTTCATTTTAGGAAAATTTAATGTGAATTTTGAAAGCCATTAAATTTTAAATTTCGTAATTTAATATATTGAGTGCTTGTCTTTTTGGGCCATAGAAGCATAGTGCTGCTTGAACAACAGTTTTTATCCATTAATTCTTGCATGTACACTCCAAATTAGCTCTGGAAAGTCCAGCCTTTCGAGTGGATTCACTGATTTGATGGAGAGGTGAGGAGGATTATGTTCCTCGATTGAATGTCATTATGCCAGCGGATGGTACTATCTTTAGAATAATGGTTCCCAACCTTTTTCCCCGAATGGATTTAACTCTTTCCAAACTAATGTTAATCAAGATTTATCCAACCAGAAACAGTTGGCATGCCTGTCTTGCCCACTTTTTGCATTCTGACTTTTCTGTAAGTGTCCTGGCTTTTTATGACCAGAAATTTTCCATGATGTCTGAAAATCAGAGTTTGTATGCTCAAACTCATACAGGGTGCTAGTTATATTCCATTGTTGCTAACTTTACATTGCATTAATTTAAATTATTTTTTACTATGCTGAAAATTACTTCACGGTTTTATTTTTACCTGCTAAAGATTATGAGAATTTATGTACAGAATAAAGCTTTTGTGATCAGTGCATTGCAGGCATAAAATTGTTTTTTTCTTAAAAGTGGTCATTATTACTGTATTTAGTTAGAACCTGCAATTGAGGTGCAAAATGGAAAAATGGATTTAACATGCTCTGAACAGAGACCCACTCAGAAGATTTTATTGGAACATTCTGAATGGGGCTTCTTACAACAAAACAGAAATTTTAAGTATTCTACTATAGAAAACCATGGAAATTTTCAGTAAGCCCCTTACTCACTCATTTGTTATCCTATGGTGGTAGTCCATGCCAAGCCCTATTTTACCACCCAACCTCTATAAAGAGATGGTGCGATGGATCCATACTGCCATCCTCATTTGCTAGACCATTTCACCAAAAAAAGGGCGTGTCCAAATAAGCCTGAGCAAAACATCTAAATCTGCGCCCCAAGATTTTCACATGACTCAGCTTTATGCTAAACAGGCACTTACTATTAGAAACATCTGGAAGACCCCTGATCAGATCATCCAGGTTAGTTAATCAGCTTGAATTTTCCTTCCTGGAACCTCACCTCACCTCACCTCACCTCCTGTTTTGTCCTGGGGTTGGACAAACCCGGGGTATGTTGTCCCAAGCCTAAGACAAAGCTCCAAAATACAATGTACAGTGGTACCTCGGGATATGAACGCCTCTACTAAGGAACTTTTCAGGTTACGACCAGCTCCGGCTGCAAAAATTTACCTCGATGTGTGAACTCCACCTCGGGGTAC